TATTATTATTATTATTATTATTATTATTATTATTATTATTATTATTATTATATTCTTCTTTTGCAGAACTAGGGATTGAACCAGGGTCTTGTGCAATGCTAGTTGACACCTGAGCTGCACCCAATTCTCTTTGCTTCTCTTTTGATACAATGGCAGTGGTATCTGGTTAGAAAGTAATTTAAGGCAGGGTCAATTCCTGCTCACAGTCTCTGTGATTTTATGCACTAACTCAACATAATATTGTTTTTGATCAATGAGTTTGGTTTAGGTTTTAGCATAGTGTCTCCATTTAGACCTGTTTTCTCCTATTTGTATTAATAAGGAGAACTCCACATGTGATCCTAGGATTCACAGCCACCCTAGGATTTTTCTCTCATATGGACCTGGGTAAAAATGCATTCTGAGAAGCACAGAATCTCAAGACCAACAGAAGAAGAAGAAAGAGGAGGAGGAGGAGGAGGAGGAGGAGGAGGAGGAGGAGGAGGAGGGGGAGGAGGAGGAGGAGGAGGAGGAGGAGGAGGAGGAGGAGGAGGAGGAGGAGGAGGCGGAGGAGGAGGAGAAAAGATAGGGAAAAAATGTGTCCAAAGTGTTGAAGATGATCCTGGAAAGCATTAGGACCAAGGGATGAAATGGAGCCCATGAATCTAGAAAGTGAAAGTTCCTAGGGAGCCCTCAGCCTACTCCTTGCTTCTCATATTTCCTAGCTCTGTTGCAGAATGGGGTGGAAGCAACCCCCCCCCCTTTCAAGGCTGAGCCAGGCTCTCATTAAGGACTTCGGGTGCTCATCAGTAATTTCAGATGACTGGTTCTGGGAACTTCCAAAGCAGGGGAATAAGACAGGGATCGACCCAGAATGATGGTTTCTCTCTACAGTTTGCACACTGCACAACTTCAAAGCCTGCCTTTCAAATCCCACTCATCATATATTAATATAGCTGTAATGACAATTTTTTTCTGGCATCCATTGAAGTAATGTGCTGAGGAAGGAGGGCTGTTTTCTTCTGCTCTGTTTCTTATTGTGGAAGTAAGAGCCTTATTACAGGATGCTTTGGAGATCTGCTTCTGCATGGGAAGGGAAGGAAAACAGGCTGGAAAGAAAGAAGGGCCACAGCAAGGCGTAGCAAGGCATTAAACTGC